TTTTTTTTTTTTTTTTATCATCATCTTCAGTTTCACTTTTTATTTGCTTCTATGGGAGTATATATCAGTGATGGAATGTATAATGTATGAAATATTGTAACCTTATTCCTTTTTCTTTTCCCCCCTTTTTTTACATGTTGTTTTGTCTGGTTCTAAAAAAAAAGTATTATTATACATATAAATTTGTTTTAGATTTGTTTCAATAACGATAAACCACTTTTTTGACCAAAAATAACTACAATGAAGTATTTTTCAGTCAATCTATTTATTGGATTCCTTGCAATTGTCTCAGTTGTGGTCCTTCCATCTTTGGCAAACCCAACTATTCGTGATTTGGACAAGTACTCCTTTGACATGTATCTTGCCGAGTTTGGAAAACGGTATGATAATCCCGAAGAATACCGCAAGCGAAGTCAAATCTTTTCTGGTACATTGGCAGAAGTAAAAAAATTAAATAAAGATCCACATCGTTCAGTACAGTTTGGTATTAACCGATTCAGTGATCTTACGGATGAAGAGTTCACACAACAAATGAATGGACGTGTCTCCGCTCACCAAACTACATCTTCCTTGCAGAGAAATTCTTACATTTACAAAGGAGCTAATGTACCAGAATCAATGAGTTGGCAAGATGCAAAGGATCCTGTTCTTACTCCAATTAAAGATCAAGGTAGTTGTGGATCATGTTGGGCACATGCAGCAACCGAGTCTGTAGAAAGTATGTATGCCATTCACACTGGGAAGTTGTTTACTTTAAGCACACAACAGGTTACATCCTGTACAAACAATACACATCACTGCGGTGGAATCGGTGGCTGTGGTGGTGGAACAGTGCAATTGGCCTGGGAATACGTTAAAACCGCCGGTGGTCTCACCCTTAATGAAACGTATCCATACATAAGTGGTGAAACAAGTGAAACAGAGAAGTGTCAACTGAATTCAAGTGTTAAAAGTGATGTAACGGTATACAGTTATGTATCACTTCCTCATAATGACTATAATGCTGTTATTGAAGCCCTTGTTACGGTTGGTCCACTTGCCGTAAGTGTTGATGCTAGTCAATGGAAAAATTACGTGAGTGGTATATTTGACCTCTGTGGGAAGGATAAGGGGAATATTACTATTAACCATGCTGTTCAGCTTGTTGGTTACGGGAGTGATAACGAAACAAAACAAGATTACTGGATTGTGCGTAACTCTTGGGGAAAAGACTGGGGAGAAAATGGTTACATCCGACTCCTTCGGAAGAAAAGTAATGACACTTGTCTTCCGGATGAAGACTGGAATACGATGGGAGGCGGCTGTGAGAATGATGAGAATGTGACGATCACAGCATGTGGAATGTGTGGTATCCTTTACGATGTCGCCTACCCCCGAGTCACGGAAACACCAGAAAAGGCCAAATATGCATGGATTGCCGGTGTGGCATTTGGAGCACTGGCTCTTGTTATGATTTGTTTGGTTATTTACAGCAAGTGTCGCTATACAAAACCCGCCACTGATGTTGCTCTTCTTGATGCAGAATCAGTTTATATGAAGGATTAAATATATATATATATATATATATAATTCTGAAGAATAAAAAATATAAAAAAAAAAATGACTATTTATTTTTCCCTTGACTTCTTTTTTTTCCTGAAATGTCAAACGATGGAAGGGAAAGAAAAGAAAAAAAGTACCTTTCTATTATAATTAGTATTATGCGAGTGTTTATTTATTTGTTTGTTTGTTTCTCATTTAGTGTATTAAAAAACCGTGTGGTATATAGAGTTACAGTGACACTGTGAAAAAAGAAAAGTGCATTGATCAGACAATTATGCATATTGAATTTTACATGAAAAACAAAAAAAAAAGGAAACTTGTTATTATTGTTTCTGGTCTCTCTGTTGTTTTTTTTTCTTGTATTTTTGCTATGTTTTATTATTATTATTATTATTATCTTATCGTTACCACTTTTTCTTTTCTTGTATATGTTAATAGGGAAAAAGACAGTAGGTTAAAGGTATTACGTTTGTCAAAAAAGGTAAATATTAAAAATGGAAAAGACGATGTTTCGTTCGTCTACACGTTTTCTCTGTTCTCTAAAAGCGCAGCAGCAACATCAACAACAAGAGAAACAAATAAAGCAACCATATAATATAATAATATCGGGTGGTGGTATTGTTGGGGCGGCAACACTAGCTTCTCTCCAGCTTCTGCGATCGCGTATTCGTTCACAGAGCTTATTAGATGATGTCTCTGTACCTCCACCGCCTTATGCGTCTTCCCTCTCGCGTTTATTGTTGGCAGATGCGGCTCCACATCCAAGTTACGATGCGCAGAATATCATGCATCAACTACGAACCGTGAGCCTTACACCGGTCTCTAGTAAATTGCTTGATAAGTTGGATTGCTGGCGACGTCTGGAAACGAAGCACGCCTACTACCGCATTGCTCTTCGCCATGAACAGTTAAGCAGCCCGGTACTTCCTTCCCATCAGCGTTCTGCGACTTTCTTCATGCGTGGACTGCTTGGAGGAGGTGATACAACAGCAGAGCCATTGCTTGAGTTCACAGATCTGCAACGTCCACTAGGTTTTATTTGTTACAACTCAGAGCTTAACGCTGCCCTTGTCAACGTTGTTGAGGATCACAAGATAATAGATAATAATAACAAGAATGATATTCAAGATAATCTTGTATTTGAATCTACAGTAGAATTATCCAGTAATGAAATACCAACAAATGTTATCGATGGCGCTCTTGGAAAGGCGGTACTACGTAAAACTACTGGTGATGAAGATCTTGAGTATTCTTTACTATTGGGTTGTGATGGACGTGGTAGTAAACTGCGAGATGTACTGGCAACCGAGACTTTGCAGCACGACTATGCACAGACAGGTTTTGTATGTAGCGTACGTTTAGAGCGTGTGGATGACGGTAATGTATGTTGTTTCCAAAACTTTTTTATCGATGGCAGCATTATCGCCATGCTTCCCACATCGGAGGACACAGCAAACATTATCTTCTCAACAACGGCTACTCATGCACGTGAGTTGTCAGCCGCCTCTCAGAATGATCTCGTAGAAGAACTCAATAAACGTCTTAATGCTTTTGCCCCAAGGGATATTCCTCGCATTCTAGAGGTCCCTGAGGGAACTGTAAAGGGTAAAAAGATGCGTGCGCAGGGATCATTCCCGTTAAAACTGAATTTTGTTTTGCGTCCGTATTCACCTCGGTGTATGTTGTTAGGTGATGCTGCCCATGGTATTCATCCATTCGCTGGACAAGGGCTTAATTTGGGTCTCTATGATGTTTGTGCTCTAACGGAAGTACTGGAAAAGGCCATTCAAACCGGCCAAGATATTGGCAGTGTCTCTGCTGTGGGAGAACCGTTTGCGGCGGAAATGATGTTGCACACTGGTACCATGATAACGGCAATGGAAGGTATTCATGTCCTTCTTAATACTGTGCCAGGACTCTCCTGTATTGGTATGAAAGGTATTCAAAAACTACCAATCTTCTCATCCTTGGGGAAAGATTTTATTCTTCATGTTGCCTCTGGTGCACTCTTTGCTAGTCGGCATAGCGAGTGCTTTCTCCTCTCGTAATATCTGAAACTATATTTATACATTGTATATCTCCAAGCAAACGAAGGAGCAATTGGAGGGTGTGTGTGTGTGAGTGAAAGGCAAACATACAATAACCGAGAGAATAAGAGAATGAGAGACCCCGAAGGATTATTGGGAATGCCAATGAATAAGGGTAATGTGGAACTTTTTTTTTTTGGTTTTAAATCTGAATAATGTATGTTCATGTTTTTCGGCTAATTGAATTTCTGTTCTCAGAAAATATTTCTCTTTCTCTTTCTCTCTCTCTCTCTCTAAATGAAATGATGAGTAACGAAACCCTAGATTGGTGCGAATATAATTTAAAAAGGAAAAGAAAAGAAAAAAAAACAAGGAACGAGCAACCAGTTACATAATAGAGTGATGCGTGAGGTGGGCGAGGTGAAAGGGGACTCCGCTGCGGCTGCCGCTGCTGGTTCCAGGGTGTATGAGGCGATGGGCAATGTACAGAAGCAGATGCTTATGGAGTACTTATCGCAGAATTTGGGAAGTGGCAGTCCATGGCGGGATGCTCTCTCGCGATGTGTGACGGAAGTGGTGCGCCGCAGGGCTCAGAGTGGCGAGTCGCTGGACGTGCAAGATGTGATTAACGAAGTGCTGCCTTTTTCACGTTCTGTTATTCCAACAGAAGTGCGTGAAGGACTCTTTCGCCGCGTTTCAGAGGTAGTTGGTGTGGGAAACTCCCACTGACAAGATGCGTTTTGGTATGATTTGATCTTAACAGGTACATCTCTTGGTTTTTCTATGATAATGATCGTCTCTTTTTTTGTATTATTATGATTATTATTATTACTATTATTATTATTATTATTATTAATATTATTATTGTTATTATTATTTATTTATTTATTTGTGTTTATGAATTATAGTGCCCTCTATGTTTTTCTCCCTATGTGAATTGTATTATTTTTTTTTATTCGTTTCTTTTTTTTTCGTCAAGTTGGTTGGTAGCTTTAGAATAGTCTTTGGTGAGAAAAGCGGAGGTGGAAAGAAGACAGGTGTGTGGAAGTAATGAGTCGATCCAGAGAAGAAATTGCAAGTAAGATACGCGAAGGTACTCAACGGCGTGTTGAGGAACTTATGCGTGTGCGACAACTTCAGCAAGAACGCCGCGAGGAACTAAAGGAAAGAGAAGCTGAGGCTGATCCATCCGACCCATCTGGTTATATTCCATTTATTCTCATTTCTCTTGTGTTCTTAAGTTTTCCATTATCTGAACCTGTAGTGGATTGGGTTTTGGTTGGATGTTTTGTCGTATTAAACGGACTGTGGACATTTTTCCTGCGTTCATCATCTTGGATAAACTGGGCGATGTTAATCTTCACAAATTTTACTGTGGTACGGATCTCTCCATTGATTCCAGAATTGCCAAATATAATTAGTAAACTGCCACCAAAGGCTGTTGCCACTTATGTTTGTGTGAATATTGCTGTCTGTATTATTGTATACTATGGGTATGTGGAGAGACGGTTTCCATGGACAAAGTCAGAAGTGACTCGAGGGAAGAAATCAAAACAAAATAATGGCAGGAGTCGTGGAAAGGACGAATCTTTAGAGGAGTTTGTACAGCGACGTGATCGTATGAGTCGTCTTGATATAGCGGCTTCATGTGTGCTTCTTGGCAATCTTTTCGCAATGGTGGCGATGGGTTTCGTTCCATTGGATGTGTTGCTGCAGTCATTTCGTCAGATTGTTTCCTTCCTTGGTTAAAAGATATATATATATATATATATATATATTTCTCTATATTGCTTCCAATGGGGGTTTGTTTTTCTTGCAGTTTCTGCACGTGTGTGTGTGTGTGCGTGTAATGATTTTTTGCTTTTACTGTGCTCAATTTTGTGAGAACTGTATATAGATTTTTTCATTCCTTTGTGTTGGAATAAGCGATCTTATACTGCTTTTTCTTCTTCTTCTTCTCAGCCGTTGCAGAAACCCAAGCAGTCGGCGTTTTAATATTTCTTTTCTTTTGCATACTTTTTTTTCATATGTCTATGTATGAATGTACACAGTGTAGTGGGAGACAAAGAAAGAGAGATTGTGTATGTGTGTGAGTGTGTGTTTAAAGATGACAGTTTAAATAAAGTTCAATTAAGCTCATCTCTCTCAGCTTCTCTTTTTTTGCTTGACTATGTATATCCACCCATTTATTTTTCTCTGTTTTCCTCTCGCTTTTACTATCACTCTTTATTACTATTACTATTATTATTATTATTATTATTATTATTATTATTATTAACGAGCGACAATAGCAACATTATCCATAGAAAGCATTCCAACAGAGAGATATATATAGGGAGAGAAGCACCACACTGCACATCAGCGATGGCGCCAAAAAAACGGCTGCCGCGGAAAACACAAACATTAATCGGACAGCCAAACTTGGAAGAGGCTGCAGCAGAACGTATAGACGCCATCACCGCTGAGCCACTGCATGCAAAAAAGTATGTGGAGATCATGAGTCCTGATGGAACACTTCGTCTGTTCTACAACACCTCCACGCTTATCCGCATTGCAACTGATAGAGGAATGTTTATGCAGCCCCCGCATTTCCGCGAACCAATGACAGTCTCACTTCAGCGTGAGGTTGAGGATATTGAGGGGCGACGATTCCACTTTGAAAAGAGTAATGTAATTCTTGAAAGTAATACAGATGAATCTGCTGGTGGTCTCCACGTTCTTCACAGACATGTTTACTTTGATCAAATTATGGACGAGTTTTATCTTCTTAATCCCACAGAGCTGTATGTATGTCCATCATGCTATCTTCACTGGGTGAGTACTCGCTTTCTACCCCATATGGATGCCACTCGGCAGCGTGTTGATTACATTGATGACGATCCAAACCCTGTATTAGACCCCCTTGACGTGCTTGCACACGTGCAGGGATCCGCCACGGCTGAAGTAGAGAATAACGAGACAAATGATAATGAAGGTGAAGAGATTGAACGAGTTCCGCTTACAATTCCATCCGCAAACGAATTACCTGATTGGGATTCACCATTGGTTCATATGGTGTTTCGTCGCGCAGTTGATTGGAGGAAGCATGTACGTCTTCACCATAATAATACAAGCACATCTGCCGCCGATTACCGTTTAAAGGCATTTTTAACAGAATATATATCGAAGTACAATCGACTTTCAAATGAGAAGCAGAGAAGGAGAGGTCAGAGTGAAGGTATTAATATTACCATAGGAGGGCCTACGTTAACAGTCTCACGCTACTGGTATGTCAATGCGCGATATAATCGTTTACGTTATAACAGAATTGTTGAGACCGTAGAGCGTGCGGAACCGTATATTGATGATTGTGTGACTCGTATGGCCTTTAACAATGAGGAAGTAATGAACACATTTCACTCAAACGATGCAGACAGTTCGGAAAGTGATTTCATTTGTGACTCGGAGAGTGATGATAGTAGTAGCTCTAGTAATGATGATAATGGATCCCAGCACAACGAGGGTTCACCAAGCTCCAGTGAGGCGGAGGAAACAGAAGAAGTAAAAAGAGGTAGGAAGCGCCTGCGTGAGAATACTAGCTCCAGCAACTCTAATAGCAGTAGCAGTTCTTCTTTGGAGATCATGGCGGGAAGTGATAGTGATGATAGTGATTCGGGAGGCGAAGGAGATGCAAGTGAGCAACAGCGTAAACTATATAAAAGCGGTATACTGGCCCCACATACTGGTTTCTACAGTGACCTTTCTTACGAGGAGCGCTGCGTGATAAATGCGAATTCTAGGCGTGTATTCAAACCAACATCGCTCTACATGCCAACAGTGGAGGAGGAGGAGAGTGACGATGATGAAGGACAGATTGACTGGAGCCAGTTTGGTGGCACAATAGAGAATGCCACTGTATATGTGCGAGACATGCAACAACGGCAATGCGCTTCTACTGCTGCTCAATCAAATGAAAACCGCCCGAAGACGTCAGAGGCGAATGCGCCTGTATCGATCACTGCAGAGATTTCACGCACTGGAGATCCTAAACGAAGTGAAACAGCAGTAAGTGAAGTGGGAAGAACAGAACGCACAGCCAGTTCAAATAGACAACAACAACAGCAGCGCTTGCTTTTGGATGATTCAGATTAAGATATTCACAGTAAAACAACATCAGTTATTATTATTATTATTATTATTATTATTATTATTATTATTAATCAGTGCTTATATATATAAATATGTTCACTGTTTTCGGAAGTTTTTTGTTTCTTTGTGTTGTAAATCTTCTTGTGTGTGAATTCGTTTCTATTCTTCTTTTTTTTAAAAAAAAAAAAATTGTTTCATTCCCCTTTTCTCTCTTTTTACTGAGTTATTTTCCTCTTGTATCCATACCTGTTTTTTTTTCTCTTTTTTTTTTTTTGTGTGTATGTGTGTGTGATACCTTCGTGTTCCACGTTTTTTTTTCCCTTGTTTATCGTAGATGAGTCAGTGGGATGTTGTGGTCCCCCTTATCGCCCCAAAGAGTGCGGATTCAAATGAAATTTCATATGCACAGTTATGTACAACAGTCCGTGGAGTAGATGAGGCACTTGAAAACACGAAACGACGATTGAAGCAAATAGAGAAGAGTCTCGAGCGACAACGAGTTATTGTGAATGAAGTTAGAGCCACCTCCTCACGCTTTGAGGATACATTTGCTAAAACAAACAGTGATCTTCAGTATATTCAACAACAGCTTGAGTATGTTGTAATTAATTTGGAAAAAGAACGTGGGATAGTAGCTGACCACACGGAGCAGCTGCGACTTTTCGCAATGGAATCAAATCGTCGCGATGGCAGAGTAGCTGAAGTTTCAGATGATGGAACCTCACTACTCATATGGTTAGCAACATGGCTTTATCGACCGCTTGTACATTTCGCAAAGGGATGCTATACATTGCTCTCACCACTTATAAATACTCTCCAGTCGCTCTCATTGTTTAACTCAGATGTTCTTGTGCGCCGTAATGAGAGTGGCACCCGACTGCGTCAGACAGAAACAAATGAAGATCTCTTGCAAAGACTTCAAAAAGGATCTTTAGACCCCACCTCTGTCGTGAAGAAGAGTTGAGGTTGTTTGCATTATACTCTTTTTTTTTTCCCTTTCTCTCTGCCTCTGGAAACCAATTGCATATGCATATGCATATTAAACAAAATAAATAAATAATAAATATGTTAAATGTATATGTGAATTTTTGCCTTTTTTTTATTTTTGCTTCCTTTTTGTCTTTTATTTTTTTCTCTTGTGTATGTGTGACATTCTAATGATAGGTTGTACTTTATCTCACTTTAGTTGAAATGTTCCCCGATTTGCTTCTAAGCAACGAGGAAAAATTTTATAAAAATTTCTTCGATGAAGTTGATGTTTCCTTTCTAGTTTTCCAGCGTTGCAGGGGTAGAACTTTGGACACATTAACGGAAGGATTTGAAGTGCTCGTTATTTTTTTCTGTGCTCTCTTGTTCTTTGGCTGTTTGGCGTGTGTTAGTTGTCAGTATTGGCGCCGTACGGCTCTTCGCACCATTTGTTGGTATTTAAAGTTCTTTGAGGCATTACTCGACGCCGAGACGGAAGAAACTTCTCGCATGTTGTGTAGTGGTGGTTCACACATTGTAGAAAAGGCCCCTGCGGCCGTAGAGAGTTATCACGTGGGTGAAGTAGTTCAACATGGTGTGCGCCATCTTGCCGTTATCATGGATGGAAATCGAAGATATGGTAAACGGACCGCGGTGAGTGATGCACCTACGGAAGTGGTAAAAGAAATATGTGAGAACATTCTTAAGGAAGAGTGTGCAATGACGGAAAAGGATGAAATGTACACTCGTCTCGTCTCACTTCTTCGACACACCGTTTTGGATGGACACCGCGTGGGTGGTGAGAAACTTATGGAGTTTGTGAATGACTGTATTCATCTTGATATTCAAATGCTCACTGTTTATGCTTTTTCAACGGAAAACTGGGGTAGGTCTTCTTTAGAAATTGACGTATTAATGTCACTGTTTTACTTTTACTTTGAACGTATGCGTAACTTTGCTAAAGAGAAACATATCTTTATACGATTTATTTCCCCAGTTTTTGAGCGAATTTCACCTCGTATGCGTAAACTTATGATAAATATTGAAGAGGAAACCCGTAAACACACTCCACGGCGTTTCGTTCTTAATGTTTGTGTTAGCTACAGTGGTAGGGATGAGGTTGTCAACGCCTGTAACCGCCTTGAGCAACGCGTAAATAAATCAGTCCCTATTTCAAAAGAAGAGTTTATGAATCAAATGCTACGTAGTGTTACTCAGGATAATCATGAGGATGAAGACGCCTGTATTTTCGCCGATTGTGGTGGGACTGAGCCACAATTACTGCTTCGTACGAGTGGCGAACAAAGATTGAGTAACTTCATGTTGTATGAATGTGCTTACACAGAGTTTCTTTTTGTCAACAAGACATGGCCGGAGATTACCAGGGTAGACCTCATTCGTCTCTTACGTGATTACAGTCAACGTGACAGACGCTGTGGTAAATAGAAAAAAAAAAAAAAACGATGTATTAAAAAAACAAAAAAAAAAAACGTATTTTTATTTATTGATTTATTTTGAAACCCTCTTGCGTTCAAGTAACGATATTTATAGGGATAGATTGAGAGGGAGAAAACACATTCATGTGTCTCTTGTTTTCCTCTGAATTAAAAATATCCCTCATATTTTTTTTTTGCTTGTACATGTAATCCTTTGATCTTTATTCTTCTATATTATTAGTATTATTAGTATTATTATTTTGTAGGAAGCTACACCACAGTAAGGAGAGACAGAAAGAGAGAAGAGAAAGATAGAAACAGTGTGAGTGATAGTTGTTCTTATTAATAATGAGTGTATCTTCAGGAGATAATCTCGCTGGCAAAGAGGGGGAGTCCGTTACACAGAATGGTGGGGGTGAAGTCTTTTCTATTCCAAATGATGCTCTCGTTGAGCTTGACTCGAAGAGTGATGTCATCCGCGGGGAACTCGTACAGGTGATCGTAGCATGGCTTATAGATCAGGGACTGACATCTTCAGCCCAGCTGCTGCGTGATGAGGCAGCCACCCTGTTTCGCCAGGAGCACAATGAACGAAAGACTCTTCGTGCTATTTCCCGTGCTATTCATCAAGGTAATTGGGATGCAGCACAGACACAACTAAAAAAGTTAGAGTCTATCGTTAAACCAAGTACAAGAGGAAACAATGAAACACTCTCTAAAGTTGCATTATTACTTCAATCATTACCATATTTGCTTGTCCAACAACAATTTCTAGAATATGTTGACGAAGATGATGGACAACGTGCTCATGTTTTTTTCTTAAGAAGAATTAAACCACTTGAAGGAACTATAAATAGGGAACATTTTCAGCAGCTTATTTATATGCTTACCTGCCATAATGTTTCAGAAGCGGGAGGAACATTTCCAATTTGGCGTGGTTGGACTCCTATGAAAGGACGCTCCCAAATTCAGTCTCTCATAAACAGTGTCATTGGTTATAGTGATCGAAGTCCATACTGCCGACAGTATGAATTCAATTTTGATGGTGTTTCTAATGCTGTTTTTAAAGATCTTGAACAAATATTGGTTAATTCACTTTCATTTGAACTTGTAAAATCACTATATCCATCATTTTTAGCTGGACGTACAAAAGAGACAGTATTTTCTATTTTTAGACCATTGGGCGAACAAGTTATCCCATCAAATCTCATTGCATCAGTCGACGTGAACAAGTTACGTGGAGATATTTCACTTGAGAATGGGAGAGGTGTACGACTGACAGCATGTCATCCATTTTTTCAGGTTCCAGCCATAGCTGTTGGTACTTATACAGGATCTATTGTATGGATTCCATTAGAGAATAAGGAAGGAGAGACAGCTATTACTTCCCATGGTACATGTTGTAGACTTTATCAATATTCTGCACCAGTGCGAGGTATGACAAGTCATGACCGTCAGATACTTCTCTCATGGAGTGGATGTCAAGCCGTTGTTCTTAATCTAGCAAGGTTTATGGATAAGATGTTAGTTTTACCACCTTCTTCAGAGTACTTAACCGAATGTGTGGCCAACACTTTTACACATACTGCAGACGTTTATTCTTCTTGTCTTTTTCCTTGTGGTTATATTCTCGCAACTGGACTTTCGGATGGTGTCGTGACGGTATGGGATCTCTTGACAGGAGAAAAAATGTTCCAGTTGAGTTTTAGCTCTTCACCTATTGAATCACTAACAGCGAATCAGTCTGGCACTTGTTATTTTGCAGCATCAAAAGAAGGACTTATTCGCGTTGTTGATGTCACTACAGGTGTGCTCCTTTTTACCTTTGCTTCACCGGTAGCCAGCGAGGTATCGTCAATAGCACTTTCACCCTCAGCATCTTTGTTACTTGTTTCGTATAGCTGCGGAATAATTCGACTTTGGGACGTCTTAACAGGAGATGTACTTCCTAAACGTTTTGAAGGTATTGAAGGTAGTACACGTAGATGCGCTAGGGTGTCGTTTGGTTGTGTTGATACACATATCATCAGTGGACATGATGATGGTTCCTTGTATATTTGGGATTCTGGAAGTGTGCGCTCAGATCAACACTTACTCTCTGTGAATCAGGCAATCACAAGCAAATATCATGAAGACTCCCAAAAAACTTTACCAGGAATATACTCTTCTACCACTCCTGAGCGATATCATTGGTCAGTAGGGGAAGCCATTCTACCTTCAAAACGTCTCAGGTTGCATAAATCTTCTATCACTGATGTCAAATTTCAGCACAACTACGTTGTGACATGTGGTGATGACGGCATTTTGTGTATTTGCAGCAGCACATCGAGACGTTCATCATAGCCTTATTAAAATGGATACACGTTAGAAAAGGTAAATGAAAACACCAAATATCTTTCTCTTTCATTTGGTGTCGTAATTATTGGTTCCCCCCCCCACCCAAAAAAATAATAATAATAATAATAATAATAAGAATAAGAATAATGATAACCACTAACGCAAGGTATTGCAACCTTTTCCCTTTTTTTGTAAAACATAAGATACTTTTGTTCTTAGTACAGTCACACACTTTGTTTTAAAAGTAAAATGATGAACAAAAGCTTTGGACAGCACGAAAAGAAAAACAACCACTAGAATATACCCTTTAGAATGCCGTATAGTTTCATTTCAAGCACCCGGATCGCCTTCCCGTTGTTTGTGAAAGGGCCAATGACTCGGAAATTGGTGATCTGGACAAGGGAAAGTTTCTCGTTCCATCTGATCTCACAGTTGGGCAGTTCGCCATGGTGCTCCGCAAGCGTGTCCAGCTGAGCGCTGAGGAGGCTATATTTATTTTTGTTGGCGGCGAAGTTCCCCCGGTCACAGCACAGATATCTGATCTGTACGCCAAATACAAGGACGAGGATGGTTTTCTCTATATCAAGTACTCTGGCGAGGCAGCACTTGGATGAAACTTTATGGTGGGGTGTGAGTACAGTGGTTGCATCTATAGAAAACGCATATGCTAGTATATACGCATTGTAGCATGATGCTTTTCACCAGTTTGTTTTGTTTTTATCAGTTGGGGGTTCTTCTTCGTAGTATTCCTTTTCTTTCAGTGGGAATGGTATCTTTTGTCGGGAAATGGCACTTTTTAAATTGCTTTCTCAAAAAAAATATATTTGCGAAACACTGCTACCTCTATGCTGCTTTCCATGGGGGCATGACATATCCTCTTGTGAGCGAATGTTGTTTGTCTTCAAGCTGTAACTGTTTTTAATGGTTCACGGGTGCCTGCTTACTATGTATGTGTGTGTGTGT